AAATGTGAAAAGTCAGTCTTTGAATTATAATCTTCAATGGCTTCAAAAGAAACAAAATTTTATTTTATTTTATTTTATTTTTATATATATATATATATATATATATATATATATATATATATATATATATATATATATATATATTGTTGTGTATGATACACCTAATTTACATAAGTGGAGTACCGACCATATAAATATGGGTTTGGTACCGGAAGACGACGGAAGATGAAGAGATCGAATCCAGAGACTCTGCCCGACTGCGACTTAGTCAACCCATTCTGCAGGAACAGTCTTCCCAAGAATATACCAAAACTACCTGTAAATATTGTGTACCTTTTTCATTATTTCAATACATTTTGTTACGTACATTTTGTGTTGTATTATTATTATTCCATGCTTATTCAAACATATATATATATATATATATATATATATATATATATATATATATATATATATATTCATTGATGTCACTGCATTAAAAACTGTTGAGGCCTTGACATATCTTGGATCAACAGTCTCTTCTGATGAAAAAATAGACAGAGATATCCAATCCAGATTAGCCAGCACAACATTCGGTAAACTTAAACATAGGTTATGGAACACCAAAGTTCATTAATTTAAAGTGCTGGGCTAGTATCACACTTAAGGAAGCACAAATGCTTACCTGATTTTCTCTACAATAGCCCCTGCTAGTATGCAAAACAAAAGGTACCATCCAATGCTTACCCTCAATATAATTGCTTCGAAATATTAAATGAAATACGACCCAGATTCATCCTGGAAGATGGTGCTGATGTTCCTGAGATAACAGTAAATAAAACTGAAATATGGTTTACGTTTCAATATTAAACACTGAAAAACACTTGACGAAGATTGCATAGTAACAGACGTTTTGAAAGATGAAGAAATATAATTGCACAAAGGATTATCACAACATTTAGCAGGTGATATGGAAAAGCAAAGTATCTCAAATCTTCATTCAAGTAATACTAAACCTATTAATGTTCGTTACAAAGAACTGTTGGTACTGCTAGATAACCTCAACATATTTGCGAAGGGTATTAGAATAATCCAAAACCTTTACTGACAGCAAAACGATTGCATAATAAATATGCAAAAATAAAAAGAAGTGCAAGACAAAGATATGTATTCTCACCGGAATAATTTAACCTATACAGTGAGGTGATTCTGAGAGAACTAGAAGTCCTAACAGGATTCATTATTGGCGGCCACAATCTTAACAATATAAGATATGCAGATGACATAGTACTGATAGCAGACACTGAAAAATACAGAAGAATTTCTATATACGGTAGTGATGGAAAATAAAAAGAAAGGATTAAATATCAGTTGCAAGAAGACAGAATGCATGGTTGTCAGCAAAAGGGACAGCCCAACATGAAAATTACAAATTGGAGATACCATAATAATTTAAATATCTGGGAAGTGTTTTAAGAGAGGACGGAAAGTGCGATACTGAAATCTGAAGACGTATTATAATAGAGAAAGAAACCTTTCAAATGATAGGCAAAGTATTAAGAAACAGAAAAAATCATTAGAAACAATGAAAAGAGTACTGAACTGTTATGTAATTTCAGTCCTCTTACTAAACAATTTCCTTATCGATGAAGGAGAGATTTGAAGCAAGAGAAATATGGTTCTACAGAAGGATGTTGAGAATACCATGAACTGAATATGTGAGCAACGACGAAGTTCTATGAAAATGGAAACAAATGGACTCTTATGGTTAACATCAGGAAGAGACAGTTGACATTTCTAGAGTAAATTAGGAGAAAAATGGGCTTGGAAATTTTGATACTCACAGGACAGGTGGCGAAAATTGACAGAGCTTGAATAGAAGGATGGCAGTAACATATTTAGAAGAGATAACAAAAAGTTAAAATATATTTAAGAGCTAAAAAGAACAGGAAATTGGGGTGAGCTTCGATCGCCAACGTCTTGAAGAACAACAACAAAATCCAGTCACGCGGGCAGGCAGGTTTTAGGAGTGCTTTCTGAACAATAGACCATCTACATGACAAAAAACAGCAGTGTATAACAAACCATTTTATCTTTGATTGACTATGAAAAAAGCATTTGATCCAGTAGAACCAAGAACTGACTACTATACAATGGGTTTAACGAAAAAAAGGATAATGGCTACTGGGGATATATATAGGATACAGTATGGTAATAATTCAACTACACAATGATACAGATAAAATAAAGATGGACAATTTTAATAAAACACATCGAGAAAATTTGAATGTATTTTTAAAAATGAACAGAAATAGAACAAAAGTATTTGCCTGAATTTCTAGGGGGAGGAGTTATCGCTATTTACATGCGGACTATTATCCTCATCTTTGTTGTTATCCCAACATTTCGGCTGTTGTCATCCCACTCCCGGCCTTCATCAGGTGCGTGTCGATCCGCGTAATTGCGAGTTTAAACCCTGGACTTGGGCAGTGTATAGCGACTGCTATGTTTTTCCACACCCTCATTATATTCGTCTGCGATTGGCTAATAAATATTGCCTTTCTATGGGGACAATTTAGACATCGCAGTCGTTATATTCAATTTTCGGTTTTTGAACTTGCTTACTTGTTACGTTAGTACAAATTTAACGATTGGTAAAATTCACCTTAACTAATCACATATTTTAGTGCAAAATCAACTTTTCCCGCGGTTTCGCTGGGAGCCTATCCTTAGCTCTAAAAGAGGCAACTTTTTCACAAGCCGCCAGTAGAGTCCACTAAATTTCGTCTCTCAGCACAAAACTATGACTTTACTCACAACATTTCAAACGCACACACAGACACAGAATTTTATAATACATATATACATATCTGTCTGTGACTTAGACAAGTTCAATCAGCTAGGACTCTGTTGATTTCTCTAACACAACACACTTTCTGATCAATTGTATTCTTGTGTTATCTATTCTAACAGCAGACTTGTTCTAACATTGATTCCTGAATATTTCTCTCTAAAGAGAACTTTCTTTCGAACAATCAATCACAAATCAAAATACAGTAAAAGGGGAGCAACTTCTTTTCCCTTAATCTATACATTGAATACAAATTATTGTATATTTGGTTCTTGTATGTTATTTCAATATATATTTGTTGATTGGAGTTTCGTTGTTTTCTTGAATCATTAATAATACAAAAGATATATGCGCTAAAGAACACATCATAAGAAGTGTACTTGGATCATTGGAAACTAGGCGGGCAATAACTGAGCAATACTAAAATAAGAAGAAAATGTATCCCTAGATATGTGCTGTGGAACGAGAACTATCTACCCTCCTAGACTAAATAAAGGTTTTTAAATTTCCCTGTAGGTTACTCGGATAGATATATCCTAACGAAGGTCGGAGGGCACAACAAAGTTTAAGACACTAATTTGCATGTAAATAGTGTAAATGCAACAAAACTAATTGTCATTTGTAGCGTTCTAAATTATTATACAAGTAGAACTAGTCCAAGAATACACATAATTAGGACATATGATAATATTAAATAAATATTAAATAAATATTAAATAAATATCACATAAATTCACTAAAACAAAACGACGTTATGAAAAAAGGTCGAAAAGCATTTTAATAAAAATAAAGATGTAATTAAAAACACATTTTTAATATGCTTCATACTTCAAAGTTTATAATGAATTTATAACATCAGCTATGATGTACTTAATCGAAATATTGCCATCAATGAAATTACTTCAAAACAAATTCAAAGACACATACTCAAGATCAATGGAAAGAGTAACTGTAGGCATATCTAAGAAATAGAATGAACCTTCTCTCTCTTTGTCCAGGTTTTTTTGCTCTGATACATGTTGTTCAAATAACAAACCAGGTATAAAGATATAGAAGTGATTAAACGACAAAAATGATGGGAGGATTACAAGAATAAAAGTTAAAAAATAACATATGGAGTAAAAGATTGCTTGATTGACACTTGTGTAGCGAACTCTGTAGAAAAAAGATCAAATAGAGGGATTAAATAGAGGAGTCTGCTGATAATACAGTACAGGGAAAATCACACACAGTGTAACCACAGAAAGATTTTCGAAAATCTTTACCTTGGTCCTAATACTTGACTAAGCAAGGTTTTGGCCTGTTGATATACAGAATTCAAACAAATATATAACAAGAGCAAAACTTCAGTGATGTGCTTCGTACTGAGAAAAAAATAATAATAAAAGAAATAACTGTTTGATTAATGGAATCAATCACCTATAACAAATGTTAGGATAAATACAAAAAAAAACTGGTTACAGTTTACATAGACATATGAGAAGATTTTGAATTGCATTTCTTATGCCTGGTGTATCTAATTTCTAAACTTCACTTATCTCATTCAGGATTTTATCCATTTTATTTTTATAGTTATTGTTTTAAATTATCCCATATTGAAGTTTTGTGTGTAAAGAAGATATGTTGTGTGATTCTGGACATAACTCTACTGTAGACGAGTCTGAAATTAGTGTATTTTCAGTACATTTCCTCCTAAATAAATGTCTTTCTCTTTTAATCAGAACCGAATTCTTTAAATCTAAATTATAGTCAGATTTATTACAATTACATACAAATTTTCTAAATGCATTAGTTGTTAATTGAATTAGACATTACATTAAGTTGATTAAACAAGGCGAATTTGTATTTTTATTTTGCGAGATTTAAATGATTGATTGTTGACTGATTCGTTTTCTACGGCTTATCAACCCTTTACAGACTATTTAAAGCCAGAAAATATTTTGAGAATAATAAGAAATTTTTAAAGATAATAATGGTTTACTGATACAAATCTTAGTACTTAACTTATAGCATGGAGGGGGAAAAGAATTGCATTCATACCTTTGCCAAGAATATATTCTCATAAGTATATATAACGAACCCCGTGTGTAATTGTAACTCGGATATCCGATTTGTAATTCCGTGCCGTTATCCAGTATACTGTTTGCACATCCAAGCTTACAAGCTTATGGTATTTTCAAGCGGTCACTCATCTAGGTACTGACCAGACTCGACGTTGCTTAATTTCGGTGTTCGCACGGGAACCGGTGATATCAACATAAGCAGTCACTATATATATATATATATATATATATATATATATATATATATATATATATATATATATATATATATATATATATATATATATATATATATATAGCTAATATAAATGCAAATGTCAATTTTCTGTATAACCATCGCTCAACAGGAGACAGAAAACTCTGCAGGAAACTCACTTCAAAGTAAAGCTATATATATATATATCCAGGGGCGCGCGCGTGTGTGTGTGTGTGTGTGTGTGTGTGTGTGCCCTTTCTTCTTTTGCACCAAAGTTAACAGTACTCGATGGAATACCATAAATAGAAGCATTCACTTATCGATCTATTTCCAATGCTTGAATAGTCTAATCAACACCGGGTCGCGAAGGAGCCCTTGAGAACCGGACGGCAATTTTCCAAGATCTCTGTCCAGCGCAGACAGATTTAAGTGATGGTAAACCCACTGTCAGATCCATTCAGGTAAAATTAAAAGGCCATGACAAAGTCCAAAACACGGCAATTTCGCCTTTCAAAAGAAAATGAAAACAAAATGTCGTACGTTTGCTGAGATTGTTGTGAAATGACAGGAGTACTAATAAACATGTTAAAAATGAGTGAATCAAAGTCATTTCTCCATTTGTTTTGACTGACTGCAGAAGGGGTGTTTGGGGGGGGGTTACCCTTATGAATAAATAGTGTTCCAGTATAGAACTGTTATTAGTTTTCCTCTCCAGTTCTTTACTCATATTTTCGAGATGTGCCGTCGCTATTATGTCAATATTGAGTCTTTTTCTTTGTCCATTTATTTTTGTTTTCTTTCATGTATTCTTTTTTTTTTCTTTCTGCCTCTCTTATTCTTGTTCGCTCCTTTTATTTCTTGTCTTCTTTTTCTTCTACTTTATTCACTTCATTTTCTCTTGATTTCTTCTTTTTGCTTCGTTTTTGTTTCTTACTTTTCCTTTTCCAAGTTTTCTTCTTTTTCGTCTTATTCTTCCTTCAATTTTATACACATGCCAGAATATATACAACTGGCATTTCTTCTCTTCAGTCTTACATAATTCTGAATATCCTCGAAACTTTAATAAAAAAAATCAGTCTTTAGTCGCCTCCAGAGAAAGTCAAAATTGTTCATACTTTTTTGCCGTCGCGGAATGCTATAAGCCCCCACCCCCGTTATGAAATATCTTGCCAATATTTCCAGTGAAGTCAAAGAACTGAATAGTCTGTTGCGATGATGTTGATAAAAGTGAAGCAGACTGGAAACCTTTAATTCAACCAAACTTCGTCGTGAACGACACGTGAGTTGAAGTTAAAGCTTACGCCGAGATGTAAGACTTCGAGACATTGTCAAAAGAATTATATCAAAGATGTCAGTTATTTCATGGAATGCTCTAGACAAGGATTTGTGGGGATCGTAAATGTTTGACATTGTTATTGTTGTTGTTGTTGTTGGTGGTGGTGGTGGTGGTGATGCTGCTGTCGGTATTGGCGGTGGTGGTATAGAAAGGAAACAAACTTTCTTTGTTGGAAACTTTGGATCAATTCTGAGACAATCTTTTAGAATTTGCTCTCTGATCGTTTATTATATGACCTACTTGGCAGCTGGTATTTAAATTTCACAGAAGAAGAGATAATTATTTAAAATGTTATATCTGTGTTCATCTCACTTCCTCTCCCCTACAGACATATACACACACACACACACACACACACACACACACACACATATATATATATATATATATATATATATATATATATATATATATATATATATTTATGGATAAATTGATCATTTAAACTTGTGTTATTAAGAATAATAAAAAATGTTATACCTATTAAATTTAATGATGTTTTTCTCTAATATATGCGCTACAGTTCAAATTTTGAAGCCACCTCCAGAATTACCATGTGATGAACTTGGTAGAGGAGTGAAAAAAAAACCTACGTTTAAAGTCATTGAAAAAAGAATGGAATCAATTATCAAACTAATACTTTGAGAAACTTTTGCAACGAATGCCAAACATTTGTACTGCAGTAATCAAAAGTAAAAGAGGATATTTTGACGAGAGCAAAATTTAATCATAAAATGCTTTTTCTTTTATCATAATAAAGTTTCTAATAAAAAATCATATCTCACTTTCTTTTAACCGTGTATAATAATTTTCTCTTATTTAAAGTACAAAACATCTACTTTTGGGACCAATTCAAATGGTTTAAATTGTAATGTATATGCATCCTTTCGCAAACGTGTCATGAGTTCTCGACCACCTTTGCAAAAGGATATCCGTGGATTAGAAAATAAATAATTAACAGGTTTATTGTATATTACTATAAGCATTATATATATATATATATATATATATATATATCCTACTATTCCAAATTGTATTTTGTAGATACCTATTTTGAGTAGACGCCTTTGTTTTTTAAACAGTGTGAATTAAGTCCTTTATTAAGGAAAAGTATGTATAAAAACACACAGGTGTGTATGTGTTTGTATTCTCGTCCGTGTGTGTGTGTGTGTGTGTGTGTGTGTGTGTGTGTGTGTGTGTGTGTAAACATAATAAATATTAGCACTCATACCATGTACATATATGGTTTACTAGACATCATTCCCATCAACCCATTGTGCCAATATGCTGGCTAGCTTCAAATGCGAAAGAACACGTCTGTGAAGTTTCAAGTAAAAAATACGAGCTCATTAACAATTGCTTGTGGGTTGAGCACGCTAACAGCTTGCTAGGGGTAGTACTCTGTCTTTCTCTCTATTTATCTAACTAGATAGATACGGCGATGTGTGTGCAGGTAGGAATGCATATGTATCAACATATATGAATATGCATGTATATAGAGATTCATATACACATATTCTTAAATAGAGAGATTTATTGATTGTTATAAAATATAAAAGAGCCAAATATGTGTGTAGAATAGTTTCGAATATTCAATATTTAAAACAGTAGAAAGTTGATTTGACAATGTCGTCTGACTTTTTATTTGATTCTAGTAGATTTAAGCACATTGGGAAGACAGTAACTCTGTCCAATTAGGCGATTGTTTTGATTATGCAACACAAAATATAATCAATAAATCAGTTTCGTTAGAAATAAAATATTATAGTAGAGGGAATATAAACGGAATTCATCGTTTGATCAGTTAACACCTTTGGAGAGAAAGAGAAAAGAGCAACTTACTCCAATTAGTCTGCTCAGAAAGAAAACTTTGTGATGCAAAATTAAAATTAATTCAATTCCCGACAAGAAAAACAACACTTAAAAGATTATTTTTAAACTTCATACTTGCTTTAAAAATTGTGTTTTGTGCAAACAAATGTGATATATGTGCTTTTCTGAATTTATATATATATATATATATATATATATATATATATATATATATATATATATATATACATGTAAACTCAGATAGATAGATAGATAGATAGATAGATAGATAGATAGATAGATAGATAGATAGATGTCACATACTGAAAGATATAAGATAGTGAAATATCTCTGAGATTAAAAGCAAATAAAGGATATACACGTTGTAAATATGTACGTGTATCCCTCAGTGTTGTGATGATCAGATTTGAAAATATTTCTGTGCAGGCAGGATTCTTTTTTTTTCTATTGCTGCCTGGCATTCGTTGCAGACAACCTTTGATCATATTTGATACAGACTGCATTCAAATATTTTTTCTTTCCTCGTCCAAAACTATTTCCATAATCATTTCTTTTCCTTAATCCTCTATACCTTCTTTCATTCGCTACCCTTGAAACTGTTGTTTACTGTCAAACTGTGGCATTCGAATCAAAAAAAGTATCATTTTCGGACTCGTAAAGTCAATTGTTTTCGAATTACTTTGAATATATTATGACGTAATATATGACATAATAATAAACGATATTTTGTAACATCAAATTCATATTTTCAGTATTCAAATCCTGGCTTTTATCAGTCTGCATTTTTACTAATTCAAAATGAATAAGTTTTAGCAAAAATCTGTTGCCAATTTTTATGGAAATGACGCTGAGAATTCAGTTAATATTAAAGCTTCATTGGAATTTCATTTCATTTTAACATATTTTACCGACTGAAAACTAATGAATGTCTATTTATAACCGTCTAAAATGGCTTCTCATAATTCAATTTTTGTTGTCTACATTCATCTGTATTTAATGAGATGCAAGGATTTCCTTCTCTCTCTCTCTCTCTCTCTCCCTCCCTCCCTCCCTCCCTACACACATATATTCACACAAGATTTTCTCTTTCCCCTATCTTTTATCGATTACGATATTAATGGTAGAAATAGCCTGACAATTTATATCATCTCATCTCATCTCATGCTGTATGCAACTCTGTCATGTCAAGTAACGGAAGTATCAACATAAACCAACTGCGGGTTGTCGATGTTCATGACTGTCCACAACTTCCTCTCTTTTGTAACTCTGGGTAATGTTTATGCCCTTACTATCCTTCCCAGTCCCTCTTCTGCAATCCATTGACATAAACACATTCAAGCGTTTTCTCCATGAATCCCTTTGACCCTATCACCTTATATATGATCTGCGAGCGTCAAATCGCAGAAACTTCAAGTATATCTTCCTAATCTTAAGTTGAAATGCCTTTTTGTTCCCATTTTCCTTAAAATTTCCTCTTTGCTCAAATGTTTCGCCTATAGTATTTCTCAGCATCCTTCTGTAGAACTACATATCTGTTACTACTACGATTCTCCTATTTATCTACGAAGACATTGCCTGACATTAAGTTTTTGAAAGAAACACTTCTGTTTTTCTTCTTGTTCAGTCCTCAGAAAATAAATATTATATCATATTGAGAAATTAACAACCGGCAGTTGTTGAACAGCATAACAAACGACTTGTAGTTCCCTATTTTCAGGGAGTGAAAGAAAATGAGAAGACTTTGATGAGGAGAAGCGAGGAAGACAGAAGATGGCGACTGACATTGCATTTAACCTTTTTAAGATTGTAGACGGAAGGGAGTTTCACA